AGTACTGCTGTGGAGAGCCAGTGAAACAGAATGGCCCGTCCAAGCTTGACTAATGGCAGTGGCCGGGCTCAGCTAGGCACCATGCTTCTGCTTGGAAGAAGAGCCCCTCCGTGGAAGAGGCCAGCCCTCCTCTGGGAAGTCCGGGTTCTGTGTGCTCAGAGCAGAGGCTGACTCCTGGACCAGCCACAGGAGTCGCAGAGAGCTGAGGATTAGGCTGCAGAACGAGGACAGGCTTTCTCTTGTGACCTGACAGAGCCTGGCACAGGGCAAGTCATAAGTCATAAGACCCTCATTTATAAAACAGGGTCTTGCATGAAACCTGCCTCTTAGCCTTGAAAGGTGAATCAGTTAGCACAGTGCTGGGAATATCTTAACCGCTCAATAAATACACGTTTACTCCACACCCTTAAAGGTTCAGTGCGGGAGGGGGGCTGGAGCGATAGCACAGCAGATAGGGCATTTGCCTTGCATGCAACTGACCGGAGTTCGATTCCCAGTATCCCACTTGGTCCCCTGAACACCGCCAGGAGTAATTCCTGAGTGCAGAGCCAGGAGTAACCACTGTACATTGCCAGATGGGACCCCCCCCCCCAAAAAAAAAAAGGTTAAGTGGGGACCTGGGCCTTTAGCATTTGGGAAGTAATTCAAAAACTTCTAGAAGTTTCTGCATGCTGATCCCCTGGCTTGGTGTTTTTATTTCAAGAAGCCCAGCAGATGGATGAGGGCCAGGGTTCAGGGCACGTGCTTCGAAAGTGGGAGGGCCTGGGTTTGACCCTTAGCACCAAGAAAACAAAACCAGACACTGTAAATTTAACAGTTTGGGCCCAGTTCCCCGACTCTGCAGTAGCTTTGGTGGAAACCCCAGCACTTCCGTGGTCCTGGCTGGCCCTGCTCCGACTCCCCCCTTGGATTCACAGCAAACGGGGTCCATAAATTACACCCCCAAATGGACAGTTGGTGTGGGAGATACAAGCATTTCCAAACGGGCCGTGGTGGAAGGAGGAAGCGGAGGGCTAACGCGGGCTGAACCCCCAAGGAAGTCAGGCGGACCCCGGCCCCGCAGGGCTGAGACTGACCCTGCGGACACCCAGCAGGGGATGAGCGTGTGGGCAGTGGCAGTCCCCGCTGGCTCACGGGGAGCCCTGGCCTGTGGCAACAGTCCCAGGCCACCTGCCAGACAGAGCCCCGAGGCTGTGTGTCCAGAGTGCTCACGGGGCAGCCCTGACCCACACCCGGGGCCCAGTGCCACAGGGAGTGTCTGAGCCTCCCCTCTCCCCTGCGTGCTCCAGAGCTGAGCCCTCCTGGGCCACCCACCTCCACACTTCAGGGGGAGACGCAGGCGCCTCGCACCAACCTGCAGGCCCCTCTGTCCAGCGTCTCGCTCTGCTGAGCCGCCTGCGCGGAGTGTGCCCGCGACCAAGACACCGTGTCCCTTCAGCAGGGCTGCTGACAGAACTTCCTGAAACCCCGTGGGGCCAGCTGGCCACGGAGAATGTTCGCCTTTGCAGAGGAGCTGAGTGAGGAGCTGCTCTTAAGCCTGGGTCCTTGGCTCTGTTCACAGGTCCTGCTGGGGCGGGAGCCCAGACGGGCAGCCGCGGGATGGACACCAGGCTGCCAGGGCTGGAGCGCCCCTGGTGGTGGTCAGTGCCAAGCCAGGAAGGAAGCCTGGTACTTGCCCAGGACCACATGACTGGCCAGCAGAGCTGACCAGAGCGTGTTGGTCCCAGACCAACCCCAGGGGCCCCCGGGAGGTTCCCCACAGCCCCCGAGGGCAGCGGTACAGCCGCTCACCTGCCATCACTCTGAGCCACACAGGGAGCTTTGGGGGGCACAGGAGGATGGCCGAGCCCCGTCCCCATGCCCTGGTCTTCCTGCCACCAGGTCCTTCCTGACAGGTGCCAGTCTCAGGGTCAGCTGGGGCACAGAGAGGCTAGGGCTGATTAGCTGCCAATCAGGGAGCGTGCCCGACCCCATCACGGTGCTAGCAAACCGCTCCTTCCCTTGGGCCTGAGTTTTCTCAGCATGAGGGAGTGGACCAGAGAGGAATCCTTGAAGGCAGATTTCTGCAGAGTATCTCCCCCAGAAATATATTTCGAGTCCCTTCTGCCTGCCTAACTCCCATCTCTCTCTCTCTCTCTCTCTCTCTCTCTCTCTCTCTCTCTCTCTCTCTCTCTCTCTCTCTCTCCCCCTCTCCCTCTCCCCCTCTCTCTCCCTCCTTCTCTCCCTCTTGCCCTGGGTCCTTGCTCTCTCCCACCAAGGCAGGAGGAAGAAAGGTCAGAGGGCATTCCAAAGATGCAGCAGGCTGGGGTTGGATGGGGGCAGAGTTGGGGAGGTGGGGCCGGGTGGTTGGGGGCCAGAGTGGGGCTGGGGGCAGCCAGACCACCGGTGGAGCTGAAGAAGGAGCCGGCTGCCTGCCGCAGGGGCCCAAGCGAAGAGACCTACTGGGCTGGGTCTTGCTATTTTTAACTCAGCTTAATTGTCCCTACCTGGAAACCAACTCCGGCCAGTGGGGTAGCGCTATTCCGGGAACGACCTGGCCCCCTGGATGTGGGCTCACTCAGGTTCCTGGGCCAGGCCTCTCCATTTCACCAGCGCCCAGCCTTGCCAGGCCCGGGCCGAGAGCAGGCTGCAGGGAAACCGGAGTGGCTGGACTCCCGGTGCTGACCCGGGGCAGCTGGGGCGGCGGCCCCTGCCCTGTCGTCATCCCCTTTCACACCAGCGAGGGCTCCTGTCTCCCGGTCCGTTAATTCCCCTATTATGTTTCCCAGACTCGGAGCCTCGGGCCCTATTGTCCGGGGCAGCCCTTTGCATTTGTGTAAAGATTAGACGGTTAGAACCTTCGCTCTCGGGCTGATGGTCTTTCTCTTTTACTTTCTCAAATCCAGGCCTTTCTTTCCCGCCTGCTCTGCTTCCTTGTCCTCCCTCCTCTCCGACCTGTCTTTATCTGCCTGTTTGTTTTCCTCCCGCTGCCGCCGACCCCCTCCCTCTCCCCGCTGACCTGCTTGGGCTGCTTTTTCTTCTCTTCACGGTTGGGTGGCCTGAGTTCCCTGTCCACCCCCTACCACCGCCCCAACCCTGCCCAGTGCTGTGTTGATATTCTCTGAGAGCCTACTAGAAACGACTCTGAGGGCAGCTCACCTCATTCCAGAAACGCTCCTCGGGATTCTTAGAGAGGCCCCAGGCGGAGGCTGGCTCCGTAGAGCACTGGGTGGGGAGTGTCAGGGACAGAGATTGGGGTTCCGGGGCCGGCTCTGCCCTGGGGGCTGTGTGACCTGGTCAGCCCCAAGACTCTGGCCGAGTCTACTTCTCTTTCCCTGGGTCCTAAGGGGCTGGGGGTCTGCTGATAGGCCAGTGGGCTCCCGAGGTTGTGATGGTGGAGAGTGAGGGTTCTCTCGGCACACACAGTAGATGCTACCAGGACATGGGCAGGCAGCTACCCACCACCCCACCCCACCCCATCCCCTGTTCTGGGTTGGCCCGCGGGGTCCTGCACATGCATGTTCACATGTGGGAGCAACACCCACCCTGCTTCTTGGTGCTCCCCCCTCCCCCCATCTTACATGTGTAATGACCAAAGACAGGAAGGAGCAATCGGGCAGCCTGGGTCTGAGGGTTGCTGTGCAAAGCCCAGCCCTAACTCAGCGTTGCCCCCCCCAACCTTGCCCCCCTTCCAGAGCCGCTCACACAGCCCCTACTGTGGGCTCCAGTCCTGACTCCTCTGGAGTCCGAACCCTGAGATTGCTGGGGAGATAAGGCCCAGTCATGAGTCACCCGCCAGCCAGCCTCGGTCCGGAGGGACAAGAGCAGCTATGGGAATTCTCAAAAACGATGGGGCCGAGCAGGACCCCAAGGAAGGGCGCCAGGCAGGATGGGGTCCCCTTCATCTGCTTGACAGTAAGCAGACAAAATCAGGGTCTCTGGGGGAGGTGGGGGGTTCAGTTTGCTCACAGGACCTTCCCTCCAAATTCTCAACTCAGGATAGGACCATAGAGCAAGCACAGGACCCCCAGGAAGATGCCCCAAGGAAGGGGATGCTGTCAGCCCTGGCAGGAGCAGGCAACGACTCAGCCCTCCACAAGGTCTGGCCCCGGGGGGCGGGGGGGACACCCCTCACTGCCCCCTGAGCCAAACCCTGTCCTGTCACAGCCGTTCTGGGGTGGCTTTCCTGGGGCTGCCTTGGGTGTCACCCCCGGGGGTTTCCTTCCAAAACGGGCTCGGAAGCCACATTCTTCTTCCTCTCGAGGGAAGTCAGGAGCCAAATAGGGTTAGAACAGCCTCCAGACACACCCACACCTGCATCCCCACCCTGAGACAAGGCCACCGAGGCCCCGAGGGGCTGTCCTTGGGGTCCCCCGAGAGTTTCCGGCAAGGGGGGAGGACGACAGACACTGCTGTCCAGGGAGGCTGGTCTGAGTCTCACGGGGGGCAGGGGGTGGGTGGCTGTGTCCTTCACCGGGGCAGAGGCCCTGAGAGCACAGGGCCTTGCCCAAGGCCGCGCCTCCCACGCGATACCGGGGTCCCCTTCATCTGCTTGACAGTAGGCGGACAAAAGCAGGGTCTCTGAGGGAGGTGGGGGGGTTCAGTTTGCTCACGCGACCTTCCCTCCAAATTCTCGACTCGGAATAGGACCATAGAGCAAGCACAGAGAACACGGGGTGTGTGGGGTTCGGGGGGACTTCAGGGAGCCCCACGGGACCAGTACGGAGGAGGGGCAGGGGACCCTCAGGACTCAGGGAGGTGTCCCAGGCTCCGAGGGAGGGAGCCCCGAGCCTTCCCGCCGCCCGCCCCTCCTCCCCCTCCACCCTCCCTCCACCCAAGAAGGTGGGGCGGGCCTGCGCCCCGGGAGGGGGCGGTGTCCCTGGCTCCCTGCCTGCCGGTGCAGGGGGCAGGGCTCCCGGCTGGGGCGGGCGGTTCCTGGTGTTATAAGAGGCCGTCAGGGCACCCAGCTAACGAGCGATCGCTCGGCTCGGCAGCCCGACGCAGGCCACAGGCGTGCTCCCTGCTCCCGTCCAGCCCGTGCCCTCGCCGCCATGGTCGCCGTGCCCACTGCCTGGTGCTCCGTCGCCCTGGCCCTGCTCGTGGCCCTGCACGAAGGTGAGCTGCTGCCCTGGCTTTGCCTGCTGCAACGGGCCCCGGGGGCTGCATGCTGCTGTCGCCCCCTACCCGCAGGGGGTCAGGGAGGTCCCCCAGGCCGGCTGCAGGTGTGTGGGGGGCATGCTGGGTGGAGAACTCCCTGCATCTGCAGAGGCACTGCGGGTGTGGGGCTTCCCCGGGCAGCGCGACTGCCAACTTCCTCAATTATGCAAAAGGAGGAGCCCACGGGCCCCCCCTGGGCCCCCCAGGGCCAGGCACCCTGACCCACCTCTCTCTCCTCCCGTGTACGCAGGCAAGGGCCAAGCGACCGGCTCCCCGGAGCACCCGGCCCCCTCAGCCCGGACGCGAGGCTCCCACCTGCGGCCGCGGCGCTGTTCCTGCAGCTCCTGGCTGGACAAGGAATGTGTCTACTTCTGCCACCTGGACATCATCTGGGTGAACACACCCGGGTAAGCCTCTCTGGGGGTTCAGGCAGGGCTGCTCAGAGCAGGGGCTACGGCCTGGGCAGGTGTAGTGGGGGGGGGGGGCGGGAGGCACGGTTGCAGACAGGCACAGCCCAGCTCTCCCAGGTCTCAATCCTTAGCAGTTGTTTCTGCTCACCCGCAGGGGCTGGCTCCTAAGAGTGCTCCCAACAGCCTGATTCCCTCTTCCAGATCAGGGTGCCGCGGCTCAGAGAGGTTAGGCGCCTTCCCCAGGCTCACACAGGAGGGAGCCAGTTGCGGGTCAAAGCCCCATGCTAGAATCGTGGGTGCCGGCGCTCACCCTCGCTGTCACACTTTCTCTGCATGGTCTTCCAAGAACAACGCGACTCACGACAGCGCCCATGTCTCGAGGGTGTCAGGTCCTGCGCCAAGCCCTGCTCGTGCATTGTCATGCTGTGACAACCCCCCACACACACACACACACCAGCCCTCCCCAGGAGGGCAGGCGCTGCTGCTGTCCCCGAGTGACAGATGAGAAACCTGCCCGGTGTCCCTGGCAGAGCCTGCCCTGTCTGCGCCCGCACTGCCTCGGGCCGCTGCATACTTCACGCTGCCGCCTCGCCGTGTGCTGCCGTGTGCTGGGCGCTTTTTTTTTTTTTGGTTGTTTTTTTTTTTTCTCTCCCTTCCCCAAATTGCAAAAGGCAAGAGAAGCCCTGCACGTAAGCGTGTGTGCAGCTAATCCGCATCCAAACACTCGCTCAGGGCGGGCGCCCTGCCAGTCCCTGCGTGCCGGGTCTACCTGGAGTCATGACAACTCCAACCACACCGGCTAAAATTAGCTCTGGCACCTGAAGGGGCTGGGCCGGCTGGCCACAGGGTCCCGGCCCTGCCCCCGGCACGCCTTGGCCAGACTCGGCCTCAGAAATCAATCCTGCCTGATAGCCCCAGTGAGCTCTCACACACGCACGCACACGCACACACACTCATACATACACACACACACACACACACACACACACACGCACACTCCCCAGCCGGCAGAGCTCCGGGACTCCCGGCACTGAGCTGGAAGCCCGGCTGCTTCCCCCTCCCTTGGTTCCTGGGGAACCTGACCAGTCGGCTCCCTCAGCTGGAAATGAGGGGTGCTGGAGGGCTCCCGGGCCGAGGGAAGGAGCACCCCCAGCCCCCGCTCCCACCCTGGGAGTCCTCCCAAGCAGGGGTGGGGTGGGACAGGGAGCAGAGACCCCAAGAGCAGAGGCGTCCTCCCAGACAGCACTTAGAGAGGAGGCGGTGGGGTTCAGGGTGTTGTCCTTCAGGTCAGGTGCGGGTCACCATTCTCGGGCCCCCCGGTGACCAGGACAGCCACTGCAGCGTGCACTGTGGCCAATCACTGCTCCCCAGTGCTTGTGTTCTTATCTAATCCTCTCTCCGTCTCTCTCCACCCCGTACCACCACCTTGCTGGCGGCTCGCCCACAGACAGACAGCTCCTTACGGCCTGGGAAACCCGCCAAGACGCCGGCGCCGCTCCCTGCCAAGGCGCTGCGAGTGCTCCGGGCCCAGGGACTCCGCCTGCGCCACCTTCTGCCACCGACGGCCCCGGTAGGTGGGCGCCCCGCTGCAGGGGCCAGGGCGGCTGCGAGTCTGGACCCATTGCAGGGGCGCAGGGAACGGGAGCTTGGCAGCCAAAGACCAGAGTGTCTGGGAGTGTCTGGGGGGTGGGGTCCAGTGGCCCCTGGGCTGCCCTGTGTCCTCATGTCCCTCTCGCCTGGGAGCAGCACTCAACATCCCCAGCTCTGATCTTTCCCTCGGAGCAGAGAGAGCTCGGGCCTGCGGACTGGGCAGAGAGAGGACAGGGACTTCAGTCTCGTCCAGACAAACCTTGGGCTTTGGGTTCAGACCTGAAGCGTGAGGGGCTGGAGAGCTAGGAGGCCATGGCACCCTTGCTGGGCCCACCCCGGGATGCTGGGTGGGGGTGGGGGGCTTGGCCAAGTGTCTGAGTCCTCTGAGCCTCAGTTTCCCCATCTGTGATAGGGGTAGGAGGAGTTCCTTCTAGTTCCTTCTCTCCTTCTGCAGCGTCTGGGGGAGGGCAGAGTAAAGACTGTGCCAGCCCAAACCCTGGTCCCCGTGGTAGTTTCTGAGAAACTCCTCCTCTGAGGCTCTGGCTGGACTCCGCCCCTGCCTCAGTTTCCCTGCAAAGAGCAGCCCTCCGCTGCAGGTGGCTGGGGTTCTGGGAAGGCTGGCTACCCAGCTGCTTCTTTCTGAGGCCAAGAAAGCGTTCCCGGTAGCTCAGTTTTCCCCAGTCCCCACCCCGCCTGGGAAAGGCGGGGTGCCAGGTGCACGGGTTGGAAATGGATCTGCGCGTGAGGGCGGGGGGTGGAGGGGCACTGGGCCGGGGCTGCAGCCAGGTGGCCTCGGGGCCCCGGACAGCCCCTCACTCGGGCCCCAATGCTGCCTGTTCAGGACGACAGCCGCCGCAGTCCCGGGCAGTCGGCCCCCTGCCACCAACAAGCTCCAGGCTGGCACCCCTTGGACCCGTGCAGAAGAGCTCCTCCAGCGGCTGAGGTAAGGGGCCCTGCACGCATGAGCGCCTCCTGTTGTGTGCACACACCCCCGGTGAGCACCTCTGTCTGTGCGCACACGCCCCTAGTCCTCAGCAAGACGGGACTGGGTCCCCACGGAGAGCCGAGGGAACAGGCGGTCGGAGGGGAGGAGGTTCTTCTTTGGCACTCTGCTGGTCAGCCGGCAGCCAGGCCACGGCTGAGTCCAGAGCTGGCCCTGGCCAGGCCCGAGCAGGGGCTTCTTTCAGAAGGTTTGCAGGCTCATGGCTCTGGAATGATCCCAAGTGTTCATCAGACCGTGTCTAGAAAGAGCCTGTCCCGCATCTGGATCCCAGGAGGCAGGGGACCCAGCCTGCTCCTCCTCCACCCCCCCCCCGCCCCTGCTGCCCCATCTGGAGCCCCTCACTGGCGGCTGGCCAGCACAGCGGGAGGCTTGGCACCCAGGAAGTGTGTGTCCAACCAGACTTGGGCACAGACACACTGCACCGGGATGTGCCAGGCAGTCACAGAGGCAGCTTCTGAACCTCCACCCTGCCAGACTGTTGTGACCTAGGGCTTGTCACTTAACATCTCTGGACTTCATTTCAACCTTTAAAAAAAAAAAAGGTCTTACAGACCAAGAAAGGGACTCAGAGAGGTTGAGACCCTTGCCCAAGGTCACACAGCTGGGAAGTGACACCAGCCTCGTGGCTCCCTGTGTGTGATGGACAGGACTGAGATGACAGAGTCCCAGCTGGGTTTGTAGGGCAGCCAGGACCACAGTGGTCTGCTCTGAAGCCCTGTGAGCTGAATGCCGGAGGGTGAGGGACAGTGGCAAGTGGGTGAGAGAAGGGGGAGCACCTGACGGGGCACGGAGGATGCAGGCGGGTCACGGAGAAGCTGTGCTGTTCTGGCCACAGGCTCCCGAGGGCAGCTGTGGGTCCTGAGCGGCAGCTTTTTCAGAGCCCCTATGGGAAGAGAAGCTTCTAGGCTTGATCCATGCCCTGCAGTGCTTCCTGGGGTCTGCTGCGGCCACCCCTTGCCCAAGGTTGCCGGCCCCCTGACCTCTGTCTGTCTCTGGAAAGTCATGGCTCCTCTGTGATGCCTAAATGGACCCCTCTCGATTCCCAGGGACATTGCCACAGCCAAGATCCTCCTGGCCTCGAGGGACCCCAGGCCCGCACAGTCCCGGTGGAGGACGAGATAGCGCCGGAAGCTGGAGCCACGTTGGAAGGAAGCGTGTGTGGAGACAGCAGAAGAGGGGCCGAGAGGCCATGGGGGAGACTGTCTGCTTCCAGGGCCAGCACCCTCGTCCCAGCCTGCCGGACCTGCCGACAGGGACGGGCACCAGCTCTGGCCACCTTGTCCCGGCGAGGAACCTCCCCGTAGGCCACCCAGTGCCTTCACACTGCCCAGCTCACCGAGCCACCACCTGCGCCGACTCTGGCCCCACAGCTGGCCGAGAGGAACTGTGTGCAGCGCACGAACCGGACGCCGTCCCCTGAGCGGGGACCTGCTGTCTGCTGCCAGCCGGAAGCAACGAGCAGGCTGGACGCCCTCCCCTAAGGCAGCCCTGGTGGCCGCCCCCGCCCCAGCCCCCATTTGAACTCTCCTGCTCCACAACCCCCGAATCCTCGTCCCGCCATCCCTGGGAACCGTCCTGGTGAGAAGGACCTGCTCTGCTTCACAAACTGTCTGTACATAACTTATTTGCTCTGAGAACTTTGGAGAAGTCCAATTATTTATTTTAATGTATTTTTTTAGACTCTCAACTATTTACCTGTGGACTTGTATTTGTAATAAACAGTCAAACAAACGCTAGAGCTCAGACTTGGTTGGGAGATGGGCAGGGGCCGCTCCCAGGTGTGGGGGTGGGGGGGAGTAGGGGTCGCAGTTGGCCGGGCTGCACTCACAGTCCCCTGCCGGTGTCCCTGGCTACTGCCCCTTCCTCTCTGGGCGTTTTACCCGGCACAGCCCCGCACAGCCATTGGCAGCTTTGACCTCCTGGATTGCAGGGTCTGTGCTCTTGTCAGCCCAGTCGCCCACGGTCAGGACTTCCCCGAGAGCATGCTGGGAAGGAGCAGAGAGTGTGGGGATGCCAGGACTCCCATCCCACCAGGGCTGCGGTGGGGGCGGTGCTGGCAGGTGCAGGGTGGACACCAAGGCCGTGCGCCGCCCTTGTGCCAGAGGTGGGCACTGTGGGAGCTCCAGTCCGCCCTGGCCTAGTCCTTCACCTCCTGCCTGTGGGAGGCAGGGGGGGATGGGGGTCAGTGAGGGCCACTCAGGGCTCTGGAGGAGGGGCCTGTCCAGGCTCAAGGGCAGCCTGCCTGAGTCCTACAGGTCTCCAAGAACCAGGGTCACTCCTGCCCAGCCTCCTTGAGTTGCAACCCCCAGTTCTGTGGAATCTCCATCCTCACCCCCTACCCCCAAGCTGTTCCTGTTCTCCTACTGCCCAGGCGGGCAGGACAGGCTATGGGCAGGATAGGCTACTATGGGCAGGGCCCGTAACGGAAGTGACAGTTCATGCACTGCTCTAACCTGGCTTTGTCCATGGAGCCCAGAAAGCATCAAGAAACACCATGACAGAGTTACCGCCCCGAGTAAAGAGCCTGTGGGTGCTCTTAACACCCTCCTCTGTCGTGGGTACATGTACGATCCCCAGTTTACACAGGAGGAAACAGATGCACAGAGAAGGTAGGGGCTTCTCTGAGGTCACACAGCAAGCAAGAGGAGGCACCTGGATTTAAACCGGAGCGTGTGCCTGTGTGTGCTTGTGTGTATGTGTGTGTGTGTGTGTGTATGATTGTGTGTGTGCACAAGAGGGAGGGGGGAGGAAGAGAGAGAGAGAGAGAGATCAACATTGGTGCACAGAATCCACAGGTCACCCCTGCACTGTGCCTGTTCTCCCCCGAGCCTCAGCCTGCGGCCCTCTCTCAGGTGGGATTCTGCAGGCTGGTGTGAGCAGAGACAGGAATGGCCGTGGGCTGTGCCATGGGCCTACAAGAGCAGACACGTGGCTGTGAGCTGAGGGAACAGCACAGAGCCAAGGCCCAAGGGTGAGGGTGGGGCTCAGAGGAAGGGATGGAAGAGGCCCAGGGTCATGCCCATCAGCTCTGCCGATGAGGAAGGCTCCAGCAAACAGAACCAGGAAGGATTCCAGACAGGAGCAGGAAGAGGAAGGACTAGCGAAGAGGGTGGTAAAGGGGCTTCCTGCAAAGCACCAGGCAACGGGTGCATGGCCAGGGGTAGAGCAGGAGACGGGTGCAGAGGCCTCCACGAGGAGGCCGGACCTTTCCCTGTGGCCCTGGGGAGCCATGGGTGTTCATGGGCAGTGGAGATCTGGTCAGGGATGGCACAAGTGAAGGAGGAAACGGGAAGTAGGTACCACCTGCTCCTAGCGGGGCCTCAGGGTGCATGCTGGGCGTGGGGCTTGGTGGTACCAGTGGGATGAGTCCGGTCCCTGCAGTCCAAGACTAGAGCACACTCCCACTCCCTCAGCAGAACCTGGTACCACGGCATCACAGCGGCCCATTTCAGATGAGCCTGGGCCCACCCCAGAAACCCCAAAGCATCAGTCAGTGGCCAGCCCACTAGCGTGTAGGTGGAGCAGGGCCGGGCAGGGGAATGAAGAGGGCTGAGGGCTCAGAGGCCCGGGGAGGCAGCCTCGCCAGCTTGGCAAGCATCGCAGGCACTGTCGGACTTGAGCACAGTGGTAAGAACAGCTGCAGGACGGAGAGAGAGGAGCCGCGGGCAGGCAGAGGTGGGTGTGCCAGGCACCCTGACGGGGCCTCTCTGACTTGATCCCTGTGCCTTGGGCTCCTGGGGTGATGTCCCGAGTCACACTCGCTCCACAGACAGGAAGTTTGCGGCGCTAGCAGCCACGTCCACCCCAAGTCTATGACTCTCCTAGACCTCATTCCTGGTAGCTGGGGCCCGAGATTTAAGGGGGGGGGCGGCCGATGTTTGGGAGGAAGCAGGGGAAGGTTGGTGGGGGGCAGCGGCCAGGTCAGTGGAACCTGGCTTTCTTGGCCCCTTTCCATACACATGCGGGTTTACCTTGGGTTCGGAGTTCAATTTGTGTTCCTCTTCCCCAGAGCAGGGAGAACCAGAAGGGGCAGCGGAAGGCCCAGATTTGTAGGGGCTGCATGTACAGGTGGGTGCCCAGACAGGGTCCCCCAGGCAGAGCTCTGATCAGGTTCCACAGTGTAGCTGCCTGGAGACCTCCCCGGAATCTCTCTCTGTCTCTCCCTGTCTCTCTCTCTCTGTGTCTCTCTGTGTCTCTCTCCCCTCTCTCTGTGTCTGTCTGTCTGTCTGTCTGTCTGTCTCTCTCTCTCTCTCTCTCTCTCTCACTAAAAATAGGGACAGTTTGCTGGGTTTTCAGTTCTAAAGAGTTATTTGCCTATCAAGGCAATAAATCACTGGAATGTGGCCAGCCACTCATTCGACAATTATGAATGATCGCCTCTCTCTGGGAGAGTCTGTGAGCAAGATAGATGGAGCCTCTGCCTCCCAGGCCACGAGGAGAGCCCTTCAAGCCAACACTGTTAAGTAGGAAGATCAGAATAATCGCTGACCTCCACCAGGCGTGTGAACCATGCTTTCCACATGCCAGCTCCTCTCTGCAATCCTGGGCCATGGGCTTGAGGGCGAGTCCCCTTTGGTAGCAGAGGAAGGGAGAGGTTTGGAACTTGCTGGAAGGCACACAACTTGGCTAAAACAGGGTTTTAAACCTCATGCTGTCCTGGCTGGCGGTCCTATTCAGGGATGCGCATTCTAGGACTTCCTGGAGAAGGTGATACCTAGGCCAAGCTCAAGGAAACCAGAGACGTTAGGGGGGTTATGAAAAAGAGCGTCCCAGGGGTTGGAGCGATAGCACATCAGGTAGGGCATTTGCCTAGCACACGGCTGACCCGGGTTCGATTCCCAGTATCCCATAGGGTCCCCCAAGCACTGCCAGGAGTAATTCCTGAGAGCAGAGCCAGGAGTAACCCCTGAGCATTGCTGGGTGTGACCCAAAAAGAAGAGAGAGAGAGAGAGAGAGAGAACGCATCCTGGGCAGAGGGAGCAGCAGAGGTAAAGGGTCTGTGGGCAAGGTCAGCCTCTGTCAGGAACAACAGAGGGGATGCAAGGAGAAGCCTGGCGAGGGGAGGGGCCCTCTTGAGTACCACAGACCAAGTCTGAGTCCCTGTGCGGGGTAGGGACTCCAAGAGAGGTGACCTCCAGAACTCAGACCAAGTCCCCTGGAGAATACCACCACTGCCTCACACCTTTGAGTCCCACAAGCCCGGCTGTCCTAGAGGCCTCCCAGGCAAGCCGAACCCAGCACAGTAGGTAAGCCTGGGTTACGGGGCTCCCCTCCAGCGGGTGGCAGTGAGAGGGAGGGTTTGTGCATGCTGGAATGAGGAAAAGGGCAACACCGTTGTGGGGGCAGAGGATGATGGGGGCTGGCAGGGGCATGGAAGAACTAGGGAGAAGTGAGGACCAGACTGGGGACAGTGTCCCAGGCGAGAGTTTCAACTTGAATGATGGACACCAGTGAAGGTGGGTTGGCGGAAAATGCCAGGACAGGTGCTGGCCCTGGCCGCTTGGCCCCTCCCAGGCCAGTGCTTCTAGCTCCGAGCGCACCCCTTCCAGCCCACCCCCCAGGCCAGCCCCTCTCAGGGGAGCGCAGTGTGGGCCTCGCCTCGGCCTGCCAGGGACCTGAGCCAAGAGCCCTCAGCTCAGAAGGGGCCCTGTGCAGGCCCGCCAGGAGCCTTGGAAAAGGAATGCGGCCTAATTAATTCTCTGAGACTCCGAGGGCCTCGCCTTGTGGGAGCAGCTGCCAGGACAGGCCTGCCAGCACGCCACCAGCCCAGCCTGTCGATCACTCCAGGCGCGGAGCGGGCAGGGGGACAGCCGGCGGGGAGCTGGGGGACGGTGTGCCCATCCCCGAAGCCTCCAGATGCACCCGTGCCCTCCTGCCCCTTCACAGCTCACCAAGCAGCCAAGGGCACTGACCTGTCCGCCAGCCTCCCTGTGCTGGGCCCGGGGCATGCCTTCTCTTCAGTCCAGGACCCCGAGGCTCAGCGAGGCCAGCTTCCCTGCAGAGCCGGGCCAGCCAAAGGCCCAGGAAGGCAGGGACTCGCTCGGTCTGTGTCCTAAAAGCCTGTTGCCGTCCTGACCAGCTCAGCGGGAGAGATCATTTCCTGGGGAGACGGGGACTTTCCT